AATAATAATATTAATCATGATTGTGATCATCGTAATTATGACAACAGTAACAATTATCAGTTTTTATTATTATCATTATTATTATTGTTATTACTAACAAGCATTATTATTATCATGGTGTAGTTTGGCACGTAATAAATTTTAATTGGTATTAATTAATCAATTGGTACGATCGCGTCATCCGTGTTAGTGTTATATAGCAATAATATGCAATTCATAGTAACAAAAGCTTTTCTAATTCATGTGTAGCATAAAATGTAACAATTTTTATCAAATCAAAATTTAAAGAAAACAGTAGAAACAATTTATACCAGAAATTAGAAAGTGAACTTAAATTATGATCATTGAATTTGCATTTACTTCTCTAACTTGTAGTTTTTGCTAAATCAAAGGGAGCAGATTCATATCAAAGTCTGAAGTTTTATCATCTGTTAACACAAAGTGTAAAGTGAAATTTTTTTTTGAACTAAAAAAGGGATCAAATAAAAGAAGGAGGAAACCTTCTAATAAAATTAGATAAAACTTAGTAATTTTATTTTTGTAATTAACATTTCTTATTTGCTAATACCACCAACAATTGACAAAATTTGATGATGTCGTCAAATTTATTAAGTACCATCAGTTCACTTAAATAACAAATGGCACAAAAAAAATGGTTTTAATTATAAAAGTGGTGGTATACATCGATTACAATCTTGTTTTTCTGGATTATAACCCTCAATTTGTATTGTACTTTCCACCACATTATACTGATCTCGTAACATTTGCGTTGTTTGTTTTAAAATCCATTGAGCATTTGCGCTTGGTGTAATTTCTAAGTGTACGCTTATTGCTATCTTATCGAGCGTCAATGACCATATTCGTAAATTATGCACTTTTTCAACACCATTAATCTGTTCCAGCGAATCGAATACGGTACGAAAATTAATACTTGAAGGTGAACCTGAAATAATGATTATTTTTTAAAGAAATTGTGAGTGTTATGGTAAAGGCAACATGGGACAAGTTTATAAAATGGAAATCTTAGGCTGTTTTTTGTTTCCTGAAACAATGACTACTTTTTTGAGTAGTTGTAAGATATTTTGGCAAAAATGATTATAATAAACTTATAAAATGAAGTTAAGTTGAATATTTTTTTAATTTAAACTTTGAATTTTTCCATTTACAGACGAATAATTAAACGTTTTTTTAAAAATGTTGCTATAAATATATGCAAATTCAATTATTGATGTCATAAATAAGAAAAAATGCCTGACAAAAGAAGAAATCATTTAAAAAAGGATGGAATTTTGAAGTCGATATCATTTTACAAGCAAATTTTTAACAGTTTCAATAATTCAACAATGATATAAATATGCATTTTACATAAAATGATATGGTAGAATTTTCGTCCTTTTTCGCCATAATTAAAATTCTAAAAATTTCCATTCATTACTGTTACTACTCGATGTCTGAATTGGAATTTTATTTCTATTTTATTTTTTTTGCAAATTTTAAAGATTTTTTAATTTTATTTATTTAATTTTACATGCGATGGAAAAGTTGTTTCTTTTTTTTATTTTTCTGACTTCCTTCATTTTCTATATTAATAAACAAAACAATTAGGGAATTTTTTGATAGGCAAAAAATAAATTGCATTTCAAAATTTAAATTTTGCAAAAGAATTTCAAAAAAAAACAGTAATGTGTGAGATAACCAACCTTCAAGCAAAACAAACATTGCATCTCGAATTATGTAAATTGTCGTACAAAGAACAATGATTGAAAAAATTAACGTACAAATAGGATCTGCTATTGACCAAGATTCCTGAAAAATATAGAAATTTTCAAAATTTCACTGAAATTAAATTGAAATTTCAAAATAAAATTTTGATTTGATATGCTTTTAGCAAGAGAAATGAATATTTTATATTTTTTCTTGAAAATTTATGTTAAAATTTTTTCTAAATGTTCAAATTTCTTTTAAAATAATTATCTTATTTTAAAATAGAAAGAAAAAAATGAAGGAAATCTTTGTACATTTTGCATTTGCGCTTGTTTATGAATCAATTTCATTGCATAGAATACTTTAAATATTTCATTTTACTTGCTAATTTCATTAGATTTCACTTAATTTCAAAATTTCAAACCTAAACTTTACTTACATTGCAAAAAATAAGCAGTGCAGCAATAAGCACTCCAATACTTTGTAATAAATCCCCGATGACATGAATCATCGCCGCCCGTACGTTAATATTAGTAGTATTACCCGAATTTGCTGAGTGTGACAAATGCGCATGGCCATTATGAGAATGCGTATGTCCACCAAAATAAAGTAACATTGCCATACTAAAATTATATTTTTATTGGAAAAACCAATTATCCTCTTTTTTAAACAGAAACATTTATGCATAATTTCGCATTTATAATAATTTTTTAGTAATATTCTAAATGGGAATCAATAAATTAATAATCCATTTTTAAGCATTTATAAGCTAATATTCTTTTGTGCTTGGCAAAATCCTAGATGAAATTTATCTATTAATCACTTAAAATTTTATCGGAACTACAATTTTACTTCTTTTTCTCGCCTTTCTAACGATAAATATGAACATTCAAAGTTGAAATATTATTTGTAAGTTTATTTCATCACTACTCAATCTAAAAATTTAAATTTCATTTATTTTCTTGCAATACCAGAATTCGTTTTGAACCACTAATTATTTATAAAACTGATAAAGAATGATGATTTAATGAATGAATTTTACATGAAATTTACGAAAACACCCAGTGCTGCGGTAATTGCCATAATAGAAGCATCAATATGATAGGAATCACTAGTAATTCGATCGATAGCCATGTAAACCAGTATTCCGGTTATGATCCAAATCATAAAAACGGAAATGAATGCACCCAATACTTCTGAATCATTTAGTTCAGTAATATAACTTTTAAATGATAATTTAAAATTTCAAAGACTATTATTGATTTTTTTGCTTTTTTCGCAATAAAAAGAAGAAATATCTTTGATTTTCATTTATTTGTTCTTTTTCGTTCTTTTCTTTTTATCAAATTTTTCCTAAAAAAGGAAAGGGACGGAAATATTTGAACTTTATGAGCTTATTGGCTGCTTTTTTATTTTCCTTTGCTATAGAGAAAATTTTGTAAAAAAATTTGCATAAGAATAAGAATGTGCACTTCAAATGACTAATTTCTACAGTTTTAATGCTCTCAATGAATATAATATAATCTTACCAAAAAGAAATCAGAATTAGTTTAATCGGAATTAAAATTAAACTAACTGAATAGACGTCAAAGTTATTCACACATTAATTATTTGTTTATATTAACTCACCAGCACGGTGCCAACCAAAACTCATTCGTTGTGACGCAGGTCGTTTGGACATGTATAGAGCAAATAATGACACCAACATGCCGGCGAAATCAGTCAACTGAAATTTTTCTTCGAAATTTAAATTACATCTCCTGCAACAAGATTAATTTTCTTGCATATTATCAATGAAATGTAAAACTTTTAAATTGGAAAAACGCAAATATTATACGTAAGTTCAGTTGCAAAGGAAAATGAAAAATTTTGCAAAAAATTTGAAAGGTTTTGATTTTGAAATAAAGAAAAAGAGAAATTGTAAAATATTGCCAAATGTGCGGCATCGGTGATAATTGCAAGTGATCGAGCCAAATAACCGCCGATAATTTCAGAAATGATGAAAATTAAGCAAATGATTGCAGATGTCCAAAGGATTCGAATGGCTCGTCGATCGACGGTTGGTCGTTCATCTTCATCGTTGTGACAGTGAAATTCTTCAACCAAATTTGTAGTTGAACCATAGTTTGGAATTTTATGACTAAATTAAAAACAAGAGGAATTGGAATAGATTGTTATCAATTGAAAAATACCGCTTATCAAAAATATTAAGTAATTACAAACTAAGAGATTCTTCTTTTTTTCTTTCTTCTTCTTCTTCTTCTTATTATTATTATTATTATTATTATTATTATTATTATTATTATTATTATTATTATTATTATTATTATTATTATTATTATTATTATTATTATTATTATTAA